CGCATTTCAATCACCCAACTCATTTTAGGGATATGAAAGGAATACTCATCAACCTGATATCCTTGATGGAAACATGAGTAGGCCTTCTGATGCAAATCTGAGATAATGGATAGTGTTGTGTGGTCCTTATGTTGACCTAGCAAGATGAGGCCTTGGAAATTAATGCTGGCACTTAAAATTGGGTCTGTAAATCCACCGGTTGCCAGCAAAACTAGTGCAAAACCTTCCTTTATCTTCACATTTTCTTGCCTTCCCCTTTAGTCTCTGGAGATCCTCTTTAGTCTCTGAGAAGATCATAGCATTTTTTGAAATATGAGAAAAATCCATTCTTGGCAAAAATGTTTACATTTATTTTGACATCTTTGTGATATAAATGGTTGTAAGCTTCATTCAGTTTAACAGGACTTTTAAAAGGAAATCCTGTGTGCATTTACCTTGGAGTGAATTCCAGCCTCTGCGGCACAAAGTGAGACTTACCTCTGAGTAAAGATGCATAAAACTGAGTTGCAAATTCATATTTACAACTGCAGTTCTATCCCATTCAGCTCAGTATGTCTTACTTGTGAGCAAAGATATTCTCCTCAACAGCCTTGTTCAGCTGTTATAAACTCATGATTTTGGATTCCTTTAGGGAGCCAGTCCATTTCATATTTGCTCTTCTTGCTACCTTCAACCTTTCCCAGCATTTCCCAGCATTCTCATGATGTGCCCAAAGTAGGACAGCCTCAGTTTAATCATTTTTGCCTTCAGAAATCATTCAGGCTTGATTTATTCTAGGACTCACTTGTTTGTCTTTCTGGCCACCTAGAGCAGTGGTTCTTAACCTTTGTTACTCAGATGCTTTTGAACTGCAACTCCCAGAAACCCCACCTGAGTAACCCAAGGTTAAGAACCAGTGACCTAGAGTATCCACATGGTATCCACATGTAATATCTACAGCACCGTATTTCATATGAATCAATATTATTCCTGTCTGCTTTCCTTACTGTCCAGCTTTCACAGCCATATATGGTGATTGGTGTAGCATTCCCCTTTATTATGTCAATGGTTCATGTTTGTTATGTTAACTGGTCATGCATATTCATGTTGCTGAGAGGTGGAGCCCAGAGAGATGTTATAAGAGGCGGAGCCTGAGAGATAGTCAGTCAGAGTGAGAGTCATAATCAGAGAGTATGAGTAGCGTGAGAGAGTGGAGAAGGAGATAGAGTGTGGAGTTTGGGGAAATCTGAGGAGTTATTAGAGTTAGGAATGTATTATCAAATAGAAGATTGTTGTTAATAATAAATTTACTTAAAAGAAGATATTAATGAACCACTATCAATTTCTGTAATCCATAAACCAAAGTTATATTTAAAAGACTTTGAAGTGTGGACCTGAATCTTCATCTTCCTGAAGTAATGGTGATTTAGTGAGCACCTGGTGGCAGCAGTGTAAAAGAGGAGATTGTTTCTCTTTGTGTGCTCTTTGTCTGGACGGTCAGGCAAGGGGCACAAGGGTGAACACCACAATTGGTGTTCAGCAGAGGGATACGAAGAAATCTAGTGAAGCCTGAGTTTGGATACAAAGAAATCCAGTCCAGACTGAGTTTAAAAAGAATTTTTCTTGAGTCAAGGGGGGGTCTGTGGCAAAGAAGTTTGGTTCCTCACTAGAGCTTATGGGAAAAGCTTAGTGGTGGGGGTTTCTGAACCCAGATCTGAGGGGTCTGAGATAGGGAATGAGTAAAGGAAAATTTTCCTGTTTTACCTCAGGATCTGAGGACCAGTGGGCTAGCTTAAGGCTCAAGGCGCTAAGAGTTTAGAGAGTGCTTGTGAAAAACTCCATTATAAAACCAGTAGAGACATACTCTAGAAAAAGTAACTCAGTTAAATATGCCTCCCAAAGGAACTAAAAGACCAGTAATAGTGGGAACTGAGTCTCAAGAGGCACAAAGTTTAGTACCTTGGGAAATGGAGACCCTGTAACTCCAGGAGAACAGTTAGAGACTGAGGAAAACACCTCACAAAGACCAAGTGTCCTAAGCTTTCAAGATTTTCTAAAATGGAAATTACAACAGGAATTTAAATTGAAAGAATTAGCAATAAAAGAAAGAACCATGAAATTAGAAAGGAGAGGAAAAGCTGAGCAAGAGGCCAGACAAATGGTGTTTGAGCAGGAAAAAAGACAAATGGAGTTGGAGTTAAAACAAATTAAATTTAAAATAGAAATGAAAAGATTAGCATGGCCTAGTTCTCATTCCCAAATGAAATCTGAGGTAAATTTTAACAAGCAGAATTGAGACAACAATAAGAAGCCCTTAAATAAAAATTACCTCAGCAAAACAACAGGAAATGAAGGCCAGGGTGGTGCCTCAGATAAATTAGTATGGCCTAGTCCTCAGAACCAAATGAACTCTGAGGAAAAGTTTACCAAATCTCCTCAGGATGAGAGAAGGAATTACGGATGCTTCAAATGTGGCGAGCCTGGTCATGTATAGTTCAATTGTACAGAAAATAAACCTAAAAATGTGGAGAATAATGGCAAGATCAAGAAAGTTTACTGCTTGGGAACTGTGGAGGCCTCTGAGGGAAACTGTGGCCAAGGTTCTGTCTCCAAGGCAACCACAACAACTGAGCAAGAAGACATTCCTGTAGCCCTTATAGTCCAGTGTTTTGATATAAAAATGATAATACCCCTCTCAAAAACGCTGGTGAAAAGATATTAATGGGAGGAAAGAAATACATTGCTATAAGGGACACAGGATCTCAAATTTCCATAGTACATTCTGATCTGATAGCCCAGGATGACATAATTCCAGGCAGAACAATGACCCTAAAGGGGATTGGTAAAGAAACCATGGTGTTAAAAGTAGCTGAGATTCAAATAGGCTATAGGAATTGGTCTGGAAAGTGGCAGGTAGCCACTTCAGACAAAACACCAGCAGCTTTTCTACTTGGTTGGGACTTAATAGAGCATGTCAAGAGTGCTTTAGTGCCTACACACTCAAAGGGGGTGTGTGTCAAACCTCACCCTCTTCAGCTGAGATTGATACAGTATCAGAGAGAAGCCTGGAGAGAGAGGTTTCCTTGGATACCCAGCTTAATAGTGGTGTTGAAGCTGATTTCATACTACTGAAGAGTCCCAATAAAATAATTTTGCCCAGGAGCAGAAGGAAGACTTTAGCTTGGGGGGGGTTTGCTTTGAAGCAGCCAGAACACCCATTTTATTATCTCCTGAACGCCCTGAATGGTCTTGCCTGGATAAGGAGCTTTTAGATAGGAAAAGGTCCTTAGAAGTGGCAGAGCCAAGCTTTGGAAGTACTCCTGGAAAAGAGAAAGGATTGAATGAGACCCAGGAAAGAGTATTCTGTCCTGAGGACCAAGTATCAGAACTGAGAACTATAGAGGGGAGAAAATTGCTTTTGGCAGTGATGGAACCAGCAGACTTAAGACCTTGCAAGGCAGCCCCCTATCTAGTGTATCACTGAATGAAGAAATAGAATCAGATAACACGCTCAGTGCACCTAAAACAAACCAATTGTTTATGATTGCACTTGAACGACACTCACCTGAGAGTCTTAAAGCGTCCCTCACATAGGGAAAACTTCGTAATAAAAATACCTGTGGGTGAATGTGTGAGTGAGGAGGAATATGTAAGCCCTGATGCCTTAAAGAGGGATGCATCTAAAGATGTTTGGGAGGAGAGGGAACAGCCTACCCTTTCCCCAGCAGAGAAAGTGAAGCCCTGAGCCAGACTTAAAGCAGGCTTCACTATAAAACGACCAGGAGACAACATCCAGTGGTCAACTGAGTGGCCAATGACCGCCAGTCGATGGAAAAGGTTGCAGAAGAAAGAGCCAGTGGTCGACAGAGGGACTCCTGAGTGCCAGCAGACGTGTGTCCAGCTGAAGGAGGCAATGACAACCGGACCAGTCCACGGTACGCCAGACTACTGTGGAAAAGTTAGAGACTTGGACTTTGCCAATTTTGCCTTTGCACCAGAGACTCAGATCGTGCTTCGAAAGCCCAATGACTGATGGGAGTGGATAACCCAAGCTGATATTGTATTATAAATGTTCTGTTTGTAAATGTGATGAAAGATTGAATTGATGGACAGAAATGTGAAGAATGATTCAAGGTCATTTATTGTAAACTGAAATGGACTATAATTCACATTTTAGTTTAATTATTTATGTAAAAGTTTCATGATTGTGATTTCTGTATGGTTGAAAATGTTAAATGTAAATAATAAGGTAAAGTATATTGTTGAAGAGTAGTGAAATGTTTAGATTATAAGATATAGAAATTGTTATGTTAAATGTGTTATATGGTAAATAAAGTTAAATGCAAGTGTGCCTGTTTGTTTAGGAGGGAAAACGTGTTTCCCCTCCCAAAGAAACATATTTAAGGGGGGAGGTTTGTAGCATTCCCCTTTATTATGTCAATGGTTCATGTTTGTTATGTTAATTGTTCATGATTATTCATGTTGCTGAGAGGCGCAGCCCAGAGAGATGTTATAAGGGACCTTATGGATCATTAAGTCAACCCTGTCAAGGAATTGAACTCTAAGCTTTGGCTCTGCAGCCAGATACGTACAGCACTGAAACATCAGGCATTTCTCTATACAAGCCTTTGTTGCAACACCTTGATCATCACTTTGCTACTCTATACAAGCCTTTGTTGCAACATCTTGATCATCACTTTGCTTAGGTAGGAAATTAGAAGTTATATGGCCCTATAGTTACTGCACTCTTGGGCAACTCCTTTGCACTGCAATGTATATTGAACCTTGCGAATCTTTGAGCCATTGTTTTATTTTCCTCTTTTTTTGCATATTCTTTTTAGGATTTTGACAGATTCAATCTCTGTGACATCAAGGAGTTCTGTTGGTGTTCCATCTACCTCTGGTGATTCTTTCTAGTGCTTTCAGAACAGTTTCACATTCTAGAACTGCAGGTACTTTAATCATAGATTAGTCTTCGGAGGAGTCCGTCATCCTTTTTTCTCTTCTGTATAGGTCTTCAGTATACAATTTCCTCTTACTCTTCTATTTTCTCCTGGTCAGATAATGTGCTTTTCTTTGGCTATTCAGTATTCCTAATCTAGGCTTAGATTTCCGTTTGATTTTGTGGATTTCTACTGATAGCACAGGTGAAACAATCAGTCCAAGGTCCTGAAGAATATGACTTTTGTAATGTAGCTCTGCCTGCCAAGATATCTGTGGCCTGATATGCTCTGCAGCTTCAAGATAAATATACAGTGGTGCCTCGCTTAGCGATTTTAATCCGCGCAGCAAAAATTGCTTCAAAGCAATAACATCGCTAAGCGATTTTAAAAAGCCCATGGAAACACATTAAAACACGTTTAATGTGTTCCTATGGGCTTAAAAACTAACCGTATGCGAATATCCTCCATTGCGGCGGCCATTTTCGGTGCCTCTAAAGCGAGGCAAAACAGCGGATGGCCATTTTTTTCCCGGTGGCCATTTTGGAACGGCTGATCAGCTGGCCGAAAATGGGGGCTTTGCGATGATCACTTCCCTGCGATCATCACAAAGCAAATTTTCCCCATAGGAAACATCGCTTTTGCGATCGCAAAAACAGCATCGCTAAGCGATTTTGTCGCTCAGCGGAGCGATCGCTAAGCAAGGCACCACTGTAGTTCTGATAAAGTCTCAGTCAAGTCTTGATTGGCATCTTAGAAGAAATTAGTCTAGGGTTACCAGAACTTGGAGGAAGGCTGTTACACAGGTGTTTATATACCTTACAATCTCTCTCTCTCTCTCTCTCTCTCTGGATGCTACTATTGTTTTTAAGGAGGCACTTCACCAATAACTGCTTAGAGATGGTATTATATCAAATGTCACCATAATATTACCTACTGGCTTTCACAGGTTCTACAATATACTCCTGGGAGTATGTCCCATGGAACATAATAGAGCTAGCTCCTAGGTAGATTGCCATAGGATTGTGCTGTAAATATTCATTTCTCTCTCACACTATTTTGTCATAGTGCTGATTTTCTGTAAAATATGAAAGACACATGGGGAAAAAGTGTGTTATGCTGCATAAAAAAACAACTTAAAAAAAATTCCCACCAGCCATATTTAACAATTACATTTTATTTTAATTATGGGAGGGAGAAAGAGAAAGATCTTGTTGTTTCAATTAGAAAAGTAGGGCATTTATAATGAATTCAGGCAGGAAGACTGTTCTAGTCAAAGTCAGTTTATGCTCAGAGAAGGGTGAGCTGGAACTCGTTCTGAGGGCTGCTCCTGAGAGGAGAGAAAATAAATTGCACAGCAGAAGAGGGAGGGCTGTGCAGATGGTGTGGGGCTGCTGTTATAATAGCTGTTGAGACTGGAACTTGGCAAGAAGCTGAAATAGGCAGTAAAGATTTAGTTAGGGCTTTATTAGCAGGTAAAGAGAAGGTGCCTGCATGAAATTTAAGCATGTGCACTGAGCATTTGTTACAGATGGGATGTAGTCCCAGTGATTATACACTCTTCAGTCTTATGCCCAAACCACAGTCCTTGATTCTTCTTTTAAAAAGCAAGAACTTTCTCCAATAGTTCTTAGAGTTGGAACCAAAGAAGATTCCTTCCATTAGAACAGGGATTTAACTGGGGGGATGTACCTCAATATTTCAGGATGTGTGTACCTCTATCCTTCGTATTCATGAGCAATGTTTACACAAGAAGACTCTTTGTAATAGAGAAGGTGCTTTTCATGAGGGGTGGTAGTGGTGGTGGAATAGGACTTTCTTGATCTACCCATCAACATTATTTTGTACTTCCTACCAGATTCTTGGCCATTCTTTAGGATCAGCCATTATACCCTTCTGCCACATGTGATTGCCTTTGGAGGAACATCTGATGGTAAGGATCAAAAGGAACTGCAATAAGGAAAACAAAAGGATGGCTGGATTGCATGTGTGACATCAACAAGGGCAGCTAATTTCTAAATTACTGTCTCTTCCATACAGTTTTGGAAAATTTGTGGAAAAAGATAGCCCCAAGATCTTCACCTGAAGCTGGATTTTGTTGATTCACACCATAAACCCTACATAACCACTGTGGCTTCCAGAGTGGATTTCCACACTACAGACGTCAATGTGGGTACATGACTAAGATGACATTAGTATTTAAATTATAATCCATTTCTCAGGAACAAAGTCCTCACAGAGCATCAAAACTTGATCAAAAATACAAAAACAAACCATGAAGCCTTAAAAAGTAGTATTTGTTACAATGATCATGTGCAAAATAATGTTTGGTACATGAATAGTGAACATACCAACCACATACATACATATAAGCACTTTATGAGGAGGTTTTCTTAGTGACTTCTCCACGGGCTGCTTGTTGTCTTAAAAAAGGATCTTAATCTTAAACTCTGTGCTGAGACAGAGGTCCTCTTCTGCTTGGACCATGAGCTATTCCTGGGCTTTTCCCAGACTGTGGAACTCCCAAGAGAGTCTAGAGTTACCCGCTTCTCTGTTCTCCTTACACTAGCAAGCAAAAATCATTTCATTCAGGTGGTCTTTTAATTGAGGCTGGTTTTATGAAAACAATTTGTTTCAAATTCTTTTTTAATCTTGTTTGATGCTTTGATGAATTAGTTTTATGTTCTCCACCTATGTTTGATTTATTCATAGATCTCTCAAGGAAAAAGGAGGAGTAGAAATCTGAGAAATGCATCCTAATCAATAACACAGAACTCAGATATTAGCATTTCTGAGCTGCTTTAGAGCCAGGAATTAGCCTGCCCAGATGTAGAAGCAGCCCTTCTTCTTGGTGTGAGATACCCAGCAGTGAGGCTAGCGGAGCCATGCATATTCCCATGGTTCTCCACCATCTCCTTAGAAGCAAATGAACCACAGTAGGATAGGCCTTGGGGATCTCATTCCCTCCTTGTGATGCTGCCACAATTCCTTAGAAGAACCCTTAATTTTTTAACAGCTCCTGAGTCCTAAATGAAAATTCCTGAAAGCAGAGCCACAGCTGCTCAAGAAATGAAAAAGAGATTCTCCTCTCCAATGACAGCTATAACAAATGTTCAAGTCAGAACTCAGGGCATTTAATTTAATTATTCCTCTACATTTTATCTAATTAATTTTTGGAGAGAGGGTGAAACATTTTAAAATTCAAATTAAGACACTTAATTTGCTTTGAGAAAAGGCTGTTCAATGTTATTGGGGGGGAATAATGAAACTTCAGGGCTTTAGTCAAAGTACTGAAGCTCAGCTAGCAACTCGAGCAGTCGTTTTAAAGCAAGCGAATAAAAGGAGATCAGAAATGTTCCTCTGATTTCCATACAGTTTGGTTAAATACAGCTCCAATCTATAGCCATTTGTTTAATTAAAGCAGAAGCAAAATATCTAGAGGCTCCAAGTAATGAAATGAGAATAAATCATCAAAAGTTGGAAGGCTCTTCTATCCGTAGAGAATCTGAGGATACTCAACGTATCTGACAAGCCATGTGTTGTTTTTGGAAGTTAAAAGAAAAATCCAACAGGTGCAGAGGACTGGTGTATTGATCCAAACAGCATACATTTCTGTGTGTTTTTTGATTGCAGACAGTACCATCCTAACTCAAAGATGTGTTGCCTGTAGGGGGTTAGAAATCAGCAGAAGCTGCTTCTGCTGGCAGAGATCCCCTTCTGTTGGCAGAAATGGTTTCTCCCGCTTCCTAGCCAACAGGATTACTGTATTAAATGAATGTTGGGGTAGGGTTTTTTTTAAAAAAATGTTACCAGTTAATGTCAAAATATATCAGAATGGCCTAGTGAGTAAACACATGATAAAAAGTGACACTGAGAAGGTTCGCCTAGTTGCTATTCAGGAACCCACCATCCAAGAGAACCAGATCTTAGTTAACTGATCTGTGGATGCAATACATGACTGACACAAGATTTTGCATCTTTGACACAGACATGCCACCTGCGAGGTTCTCAACTGTAAGAAACTCACAGAGATATCTTTCTATCAGTTTTCAGATACTGCTGCAGCCATAACCTTAAATTAGATCCAACTTTGGCTTAATGGCTCTCTTCATTACTAAATAGAGCAAAATGATATTAATCCAGACACAGCAATCTAGATGTTATTAGAAAGGTGACCACAGAGTCTGTTTTACCTGAAACTGAGGTTTTAGAAGTCCTCTGTAGAGGATATATTTCACCAGTGGATAGTTAGACCAGTTTGGTCAACCCACTTTATCAGAGCCAGGCAATGTAACTGTTTGAATTTCATCTCCCATAATTCCCCAGTGAGCGTATCTGTTTGTGATGCATTCATCACACAACCACTGCAGTTACCACCACAACAAAACATATTTGTAAAACAGAGAAGAAAAAAGCTCCCCGAAGCAGCAAATTACAATGTTACTAACATTTCAGAACTTGTTTGCTCTATTCACAAAAATGATTATTCAGGGTCTGATTATACAATGCTTCCCCTTCCCACTTCATTCTGGCCTGTAAAAATTTTCCTCCCTCTGTGGAAAGAATTATTGCTGTGCAGTGAACTGGTCATATGTGTTGCTTACTTTGGGCACTTAGTTGAGATTTAGGTTAAAACTTCGCCCACCCATAATGTCTCCTTTGACCACGGGCCTCTTGTTGTGTGTATAAAATGGTGGAATGATATATACCACCCAGAGCTCATTGGAGGAGCAATGGCATTAAAACAACACAACTGAATATGCTAGGAATGATATGAAAAGAATCTGGTCATCACAGCTGTTGTCCTGAGCTTTCTGTTATTTCTAGTAGTGCTAACTTTGTCAAATATTAGTGTTTAAAGTGCAACAGGAGGAGAACAAGCACAACCATTCCTCCATTGTTTTGGAGCAGGTTTCTGAGCAGCTGCAGAGATCTCTTCGATTAAATCATGACTGTACTTCCAGAATACAGGAGAAGAACTTACTTTCTTCTTAATTCACCAGTGGTTACTGTCAAACTTTCTGTACTCAAGCAAGATTTCATCAAACTGCTGTACAGGCCATTGAGGAGGAGTTATTTGCATCTCAGAAACATGTCCGTGTTTCAAAGAGAAGAAGTAGGAATGGCCACCTGAAGTAAAAAAAAGAGGAGGTGTTAAAGATCTTCCAATCTTTTATTCCAATTTTCTAGTCGTTTACCCTCTCCCACTCTCTCTCTGTTTACCACCAGGATGTACCATTTACATTTCCTGGCCCAGACACCAGAATGGTGTGGGCTAGTCCTGCTCAAAGACCCTTTCTGTTAATTTCTGCTGAGAGTCCTTTGGACGGCAGCCCACAAGGGAAGGGATGGGAAAGCAGCATCGGGTGCTTCCACTTCAATCCCACTGGAGAGGGAGAAGTCATTATCAGATATGCCTTGTCCAGGCTTGCTGAGTATTAGCAAATAATGAATATCCTCCTTGATTAAAAACTTGAAAGGGCATGGCTGCCAGCTGGACCTTGTGAGCAACAGCTGTATTAGAATGAAACAGTACAGAGGAAGGACAGTAATAGATTTCACTGAGTAGTACACACCACCAGCTCCTTCCAGATTTAAGAGCTGGCTTGGAAAATACATTCTCTTTCCTCTGATTGCTTTTTGACAAATCTTTAGGACCGATTGTAGGCAGGGGCTGCTGCGCGTCACTTAAAACAAGGCAGCAAAATGTGGGCAACAGGAAAAAGAGAAAGAAAGAGAAAAACAGAGGTATTTGATTTTTACTGTAGAACTTAGGACACGGTGTATCGGAAAGGATGACTCTGATAGCTGCTTGAAATAGCCATTGCTGTTTCTTGGGTTTTGATGAGATCACCTAAACAACATACTTCGTTCATTAAAGCAGTGTGAAGATTTGAGGACAAGGAGCAAAAGAGAAGATAAGTAAATTCAAATGAATGGTGAACCAGAAAAATTGTGGTTTGTGATGGTTCAGGGTTCGTAGCAAACCACGAACCACCACAACCCTCTAGAAAAAACAAACTAATTCATTGTTAATTTTTCCTGTTTATGCTAGGACAGGGCCTACCTGCTCCTGCTCTCCGCTGACCCTCCACCTCCCCTGCCACCCACCTCCCCCTTCCCACTGCCTCGTCATCTCCCTACATGCTCTTGCCACTGCCGCCTCCTCCTCCTCCACCACCACCGCTGCCATCCTCAGAGGTACTGGGTTTGGCTTTCTTGCCAGGAGCTGGGTTGGCTGTTTCCAAGCATGTACAGTATTGGCCTATCAGCCTGGCAGCGGACAAATGTTCATAGAAAGCAGCCAGTTCTGGGAAGCCAGGCCCACTGCCTCTGTGCATGTACCCACTGCCCAGCTGATAGGCCAGCACATGCTCAAAAGCACCAGGCTTGGCTCTTGGGAGGGAAGTCAGTCCCACCTCCTCTGAGGATGGTGGTGGCGGAAGCAGCAGAGGCAGGAGCAGGCAGGGAGACAATGAGGGTAGCGGGAAGGGGGCATCCTGTTTTGCCAAAGCAAAACAAAAATGTTAAGGGAGGGGGAAAGTGTGCCACTTCATTTTGCTTTGGCAAAACAGGATCCCCAAACTTGGTCATGAATCAAACTGCAAACCAACCCAGTTTGTTGGGTTTTCTTGTTTGTGGCTCAGTTCATGCCCATTTCTAATGGTAAGTCAGTATTGTCCCTCAGTTCTACTGTCACCCTTTTGAAGAAAATGATTTTTAAAAAACCTGACAACCATAGTCAGGAATGGAACATGTAAATAGAAAATCTGGTACATGTTAAAAATAGATTAACGTTGAAACTAAACCTTCCCACTGTATTAATTTTTAAAGTCCATAGTGCCTGTGTAGGTGATTTGGTACCTTAAGGAGCCTTTGGATGAACATTCCTATACATCCCAGGGCATGACTATGCTGGCTGGGTCTTATGCATAACTCCAAATCTCCAGACAATGAAAGTTTTCCTACCTCTGCCTTAATATGTTCCTACTTAGATTCTGTGAAAATGTGCATCACCTTGTTAGTTTTCTCTGCGAGCAGAGTAGCACCACCCACCATAAATATCACCACTCTTTATTATTTGAATAAAAGTGACAATATGCAAAAGAAAGACATAATAATGGACTAGGGTGCTCATTTTATTTTTGCAGGTAACTGTGGAAACATTAACATTTTTCACCTCTGTGAATGAGATTACCCAGAGATCTTTGGGTAGCGTGGGTAGCATATAAATTCAATAAATAAAATTTAAATGCATAAAATATGTTGGGGTTTTTTTCTCCTCATTTCCCCATATTTGGGGGGTTATGTATGAAAAATTTAAGCTTTTGTGCAGAAATAAAGGTTTTGTATTAGCTTTACTGCTGATCAAACACACACGCGCACACACAGAGAGAGATATTTTCATCCTTGAATGGGAGCACGATATCATGCATCAGAGGATAGTATTTTCAGTGAGGTGTCTTGGTGGGCTGATACCCTTTTTCATCAAGGACAAGGAAATGTACAACTATTTTAAACAAACTTAGGAGAGACTAGGTTTCTCTGTGGAACTGATTATATTATATATTATACTAACTCACAGCAACTGTGAGTGTGTGAAATAGGTAATTATTGTGAGGTGCATTCAGCCTTCAATTTCACCACACAGTCTTAGCGGTAAGACTGCAGACTGCTGCAGAATCCAGATGGAGGCAGAAACACATAGCCCTGATATGAATGCATACACTGTGCTATGTCTGCATCAGAGGAGGGGGAAGGTTGGCTATTCTTGCTCTGTGCATTTGCCTCTTTAAAAAAGTTCATTTACCTCACCAAGATAGGTGTCGTCAGTACAGGTGAAAATAGTCCCAACTGTGTGGAAGTAGTGTGATTTTGGAAAAATACCGAGATTGCCTTGGAGGGCTTGTCTTGTTGGCAACTCTGAGAGGGATGGGTTGCGATCCTCGGCAGGCTTGGGGCCCATGTTTTTGTTCCCAGACCCTGATGTGGGCTCCACTGGATCACAAATGGCTGTTCAGTCCATGTTATCCTTTGCATTCTGGGTTTTGGGGAGTGGGGAGGGCCTCTGAAAGCTCCAATTCCCCACCTCCAAAAATCATCACTTGAGGAGGAGCTTTGACCCATACCCTTTTAAATTTGTTTAATAGGGAGCTCTCAGGTGGCCTTCTGGGTTCCTAGTCTGACACTACCCTGTATTTTTAAACTCATTGGCCATAGGAGGTGACAGGGTCATAATTAGGATGGTGTGACCACAGTGAGAAAGAGAGATGTGGGCATCCGTTAGCAATAAGGAAGGGGCCATTAAGAGGAAAGGAGTTTTCTGTGATTCACCATGCAGAGTTGTGGATCTGGAGTGGTGAAAATACCCCTTTGGAGTCTGAGTGGAGCACACCGAGTCATGGGACCTAAGTGGTTGTGGCTCAGGGGAACATTCTTTAAGCCATAGCAGTATCGCTAAAGGGACTGGATCAGCCGTTGTGCTGTTTCTGGGTGCAGCGGGAGGGACAGGATCTGATGTATCAACTCACAGCAACAGTTCATGGACACAGTTATTATTACTGCAAACCTCTCTTACTGTGAAGCATTACCGTTGTAATTGACTGACTGCCAAAGGGAAAAAGAGAATGCTGAGAGCTAGACTACATGTTATGTTACTCAAGATTTCAAAAAAAGTGTGCTTAAACTTTTATTCTGGGCATTTTATTTTGAAGAAGAAGCCGTTGCTGGTATTTTACTCAGATCTCCTTCTTCAAGCTCTGCCCATCGGTTTATGTCTCAGTTTGATTCAGTAGCGTACATCATGGATGACAAATTGGTGGTCCTCAAGGTCTTGTTGACTACCAATCCCATTGTGCCTCACCATTTACCCTTCTGGCTATGGGGATGGAAAACCAAGTCAAGCAATATTTAGGTTCCCCAGTCTTTCTTGAATCAGTAATTAGAGATCACTGAGGGCAAATTACGCCACAAGTGAACATGGTTCATCAATTTGCACAAATCATATTGAATTAAATTACTATTTAAAAATATATGCAGTGTTACTTTGATTGAATTAGAATTAATAGTAGAAATGCATAGATGCATAGTTCACACACACACACACAAACATACATCCTGAATACAAATCCTTCGTATTCTTGACCAAAGTAAAATATGTGGTAGTTCTTTTATTCTGTGTTTTCCACAAAGCACCTGTTTTGGGTTTTTGAAAGATCAAAGCACCTGTCTATACTAGTGATTTCAACTTGACCTCAAAGACATTCATGTCTGAGCATGACAAGCTGCTACATATTTTCCCTACAAGATTTTTTTTTAAATGCCTTTCTACCAACTGTCAATCAAAGTCATCAGTTTTGTGGAAGAAAAAATTAATTGGGACATTTATGTAGAGTTTCAACCTTTCTTTTTCTTTTTCTTTTTTCTTTTTTGAAGCTTGGGGGGAAAAATAGCAAACGACTTAGTTGTTTGTTCAGACGTTTATCTGAAATGCCAGATTTTGAAATGATCAAAGTCGGAAGTAAAACAAATGGACAATGTGTCAGGACAATCTGTAGGATCAAACAAGAGAATCCTCTTACTGTCTAACTATACATTGCACACAGATTTATATAAAGAGAACCTGTACACATTGTTTCTTGGCACAAAGAATACCGGAGAGGATAAGATTTTAACAGAGGTGCACTTAACACTTTCTCCACCTACTGCTTCTTGGTTCCAGACTGTGTCTTCCTAATATTACTTTGGGTCGCCATATTTTTAGTCATGCACTTGGATATATTTTTATGGTCCCAACACCATCTGTTCATCTAGCTTGAAGAGAAATCATCTGGAAAATCATTTCTTCAAGAGGGAGATATATTTTATGGTACTATGTATTTACCTTTAAAAAAATTGGTATCTCATGCATATTACAAAATGTGCACAATTTGTGCAAGCTGAGGCAGTTTCCTCATTCCACCTGAGAATAGCACTGGTTCTGCCCAATCTTGAGCTGACTTTGTAAAGGATCAGAATGACATGAGTCAACATGTTGATTCCTGAGCTTTCTTGGTATAAGATGAGCCAGGCAGGTGCCACCCTGTTCTTGTCCAAGTGTAAGACAAGGGTGAAGATTCACCACATGTCATGGCTTTCTAAGAACAAGAGGCATAAGCCCACACTTCTAGAAACTCCACTCCTGGAGAAGGAAGTAGAAGGATTGTCCTTGCAGAGGGATCAGGCCATTCCAAAAACCTGGAATAACATGACAATCAAGACCATGTCTTTCTTTTCTAGGAGATGCAGGGTCAATGCAAATTCTGCTTGACTCCCAAGGCTAACCAATATTTGGGGGGCTGCAGACCTAACAAGGTGTTGTGCCTGCTTCTTTGGTACTCTTTAAAATAAACCAACTAAGTGCAAACAGATTCACCCCTAATATTCATCTCAGCAATCAGAAGAATGTAGTTTACATCTATCCAGAAAGTTGTTTTCTTTCAGGATAGATTGAAAGAATAACAGCATTAACTTCTCACCTGGCATTTACTGAGATGTAAAAATCATGTAATGGTTCTTTTGGTATAATTACTTTTCAGTTATGTAAGGAATATGTATGTAATGAGGTTTCTTTTTTCAATGGATTAAATTTAAATGGAATACTGAAATATTTAACAGGAGTATAATAGAACAAAATAGGCATAGCAAATTAGTTACTCATTAAAATGCAGCTTTTGTTGCTATCCTTTCATGTGACCTTCAGAAAATAATTTGTTGTCTTTTAACTGTGAATCTAGAGCCAAACATTTGGTGGATAATTTAAAATCCATGTTTAAAATTTAACCCTTTTCCCTCTTTTCACCTTATCACTTGTACCCAACCAGATTTATTTGAAGATGTGTTTCTGAATGATTGCAACATACTAAAAATGAAATGAGAAGTAATTCAGGAGCTTAGGTACAAGCTGGTCCAAATGAAATTTGCTTTATAAATCTCTATAAAGTGTCTACATACTGGCTTATTTATTTATTTTATTTATTGGATTTCTATCCCACCCATATAGACCAAAGGTCTACTCTGGGCGGCTTACATACCAGAGTCCTAAAGTCTGGTTGAACATTCTTTGGAAACCAAAGGATAAATATATAAGAAGTGCTACCAACACTGCTCTTCCCTGGCTGTACAAACCACTGTGCATTGCCCTCCCTCCCCCACAAGATTGAGTAAATTGTTGCTTAAACATAGCAACTCAATATTACACAAGTTTGTGCACCTCATCAACTTTGTCATTTGGGAACCTAGAAGTTGTTTAACTTTTCCAGTAGGACAGAGGAATACATATACAGTAGGATCTGTTATAAAGGAAATCAAGGTTCTGACAACTTTAATAGTTTTGGGTGAAGTTTCATTTTGGCACTATTCTCACTTGTCATGTCTGTGTGACAAAAAATTGCAATTGTCAATTTTTATTCTAAAAAAATCCACTTTTGTTAAACAAAGTATTAGTTTTACCCATCTTCTGCATCCTTTCATCCCCCTATCCCTGAATTACTGCTTAGTGTCTGTTGAGGTGGGTGTGTTTTGAGGTGGTATCAGTGAAGAAAAGTATCGACCAATGAAAATCTAATTTTTTATTTTATTTATTTATTTAAAATATTTTTATCCTGTCTTTCTTCTTAAAATGAACCCAAAGTGGCTTACATCATTCAAAAGACAATATGTAGAAGCCAAAAACATTAGGTATACAAACATTTTTTTAAAAAAATCAAACAAGCATTACATTAAAAGAATTAAACAAGTATTAAATTTAAAAGAACAGAGCACAACTATTGACTTAAAAACTCCTCTCAGTTCTATTTTTTAAAGACAGTTATTTCTTCCTCTTAACTTGTCTAATCTTATTCTTGGTTACTCCTTTATCTCATGACCTGACATCAAGATGACATGTTAAACTCACAATTTGTTAAAATTCTGCACCAGCTGGCACAGTGCTATTCTACATACCGGATCCATTTCTTTTATATATCCCATGTGTGGGGTTTTTTTTAGCACCCTATATACCTTCCTTCCTTCCTTCCTTCCTTCCTTCCTTCCTTCCTTCCTTCCTTCGTTTATTTATTTGACTTTTATCCCACCCTTCTAGACAATGTCTACTCAGGGCGGGTCACAATAAAATCATTCATAAAAACAGTTAAAAGAATAAGTTAAATTGACATATTAGTGTTGATCAAGATGGGAAAATAGG